TGGTACCGAGATGGATAAGAGGATGGCCTCCTGTCGCCTCTTCCGGCGGAAAGGGATGTTTGTAATGATGATGATGATAATGATGATGGGGATGGCGGTGATGATGATGATGGGGATGATGATGAAGGGAATGATGATGATGACGGGGATGGCGGTGACGATGAAAATGATGTTGGCGATGATGGTGGTGATAATTTATTATTATTACTATTATTATTATTATTATAATAATATTATTATTATTATTGCGCAGTTATCATACTATGGAGAAGATGGACGAGATCCAGCTTTCGATAGATGGGTGGGTGGGCAGAAACCTCTACCAGATCTGCAACGGATACATTACGGAAGGTGATGATGCTGATGATGAGGAGGAGGAGGAAGAGGAGGAGGAAGACAGTGATGATGATGATGACGACGATGATAGCGACGACGACGGCGGTGGTGGAATGATGAAGGATCGAGAAAAAAAAACCTCATTCAGAAAGAAGCTGTATGAATTGATGCACACAGCTAAATGAATGGCTCATGCACACGCGCGCACGCACACACGTACACGCACAGGTTACACACACGCACACACACGCACAGGTTACACACACGCACGCACACACACGCACATGTTACACACACACGCGCATACACGCACAGGTTACCTACAGAAAGTATCCGGGAAGAGAGTGTCTGACCGCTACGTGTTCCTACTTGACGGATTAGTGATACTGACAAAACGGATAGCCTCACAAGTTCGGCGATCCGTGACAGCCGCATTCTCCGGCTCGTACGAATACAAACTGAAGGAGAAGTTCATGATCCGGAAGATTGACGTCATCGATAGGGACGATACGGACGGTCTGCTGCTGTTGTTGCTAATGTTGTTGTTGATTTGGTTGTTGTTGCTAGTGTTGTTGTTGGTGGTGGTGTTGTTGTTGATGTTGTTGTTGATGTTGTTGTTGTTGTTTTTGATGTGGTTGTTGTTGCTAGTGTTGTTGTTGGTGGTGGTGTTGTTGTTGATGTTGTTGTTAATGTTGTTAATGTTGTTGTTGTAGATCGCCTGACGAGGTGCCTAGTTATTTAATTTAAATATTCCATAGTAGTAGTGATTGATTTTGTGGTAGAAAGAGGGAGTGAGAGAGAGAGAGAGAGAGAGAGAGAGAGAGAGAGAGAGATCATAAATTGAGATTTGTGAGGTAGTTGTTGGGAGTGGTAGTGATAGGATCAACAAAAACATCTGCCTGCCAATGTTGTTGTCCTTGTTGTTGTAGCTGCTGTTGTTGTTGATGTTGTTGATGTTGTTATTGGGTGGTGTTTGTTGTTTCAAGGGTAGGATTTTTTTGGGGTGGGTGAATATTTTTGGGAGAGTTTTTCGGTGGGCGTTTTGTGACGTAATTTTTAGGGATGTGTTATCTTTATTTGATGATAAAATGATTTGTTATTCAAGGTTTATTTTCTTGTTCTTTTTATGTTATCATTCATTTATTCGATCAATCAATCAACCAATCAATCAATCAACCAATCAGAGTTGAAGAACGCTTTTGAGATAGTATCATCTCAACACAAGCAACAATCAACAGTGGTCTTGATCGCTAAGTCTCTTGATGAGAAAATAAACTGGCTATCTGTATTCTTTTCACTTATTTACAGGTTGGTTGGTTGGTTGGTTGATTATTGATTGATTGATTGATTGATTGATTGATTGATTGATTGGTTGGTTGGTTGATTGGTTGATTGATTGATTGATTGGTTGGTTGGTTGGTTGGTTGGTTGGTTGGTTGGTTGGTTGGTTGGTTGGTTGGTCGATCGATTGATTGATTGATTGATTGATTGATTGATTGATTGATTGATTGATTGATTGATTGATTGATTGATTGATTGATTGATTGATTGATTGATTGATTGATTGATTGATTGATTATTTAGTCGTTCCATAATTTCCATAATCATTCTTTCATTCATGTACTTCCTTTCATTTTTAACTTTCTTCATTTGCTGATTGAAACGACTGCTCATCATTCAGTTATTCTTAACTTAATCACTCACTCACTCATTCATTCATTCATTTATTCATCAATTCATTCATTCATTCATTCATTTATTCATTCATTCAATCGTTCATTCATTCATTCACTGCAGGAGTACATTAGAGAGATGGTTGGATACGAAATTGAAGGAGGAAGAGAAGAAACAACCGCTAAAAATGCCGACGCCCGATGTATACAGGTTGTGATGATGACGATGACGACGATGATGATGATGAGGACGATGATGATGATAATGAGGATGATGATGATAATGATGAGGATGATGACGATGATGAGGATGACGACGACGATGATGACGATGATGATGATGACAGATTTGCGGAAGAAGACTCGGAAGATAATATTTTATTCGAGGACAATGGATACGACAATGGCAACAGTAATGATATTCCCATCATTAAAGGTTGGTTGATTGATTGATTGGTTGGTTGATTGATTGACTGGTTGGTTGGTTGGTTGGTTGGTTGATTGGTTGGTTGATTGGTTGACTGGTTGATTGATTGATTGGCTGGTTGGTTGATTGGCTGGTTGATTGATTTATTGATCGATCGAATGGTTGAAAGAAAGAATGAATAACCGAACGGATGAATGAATAAATAAATGACATAATTAATTTGTTCATGAATACAATAAACATACACACGCTCCCTACACACGCACACACACGCACACACACGCACAGGTGGAACGATATTGAAGTTAGTGGAGCGACTAACCTACCACTCCTACTTTGACCCGAAGTTCATCAAAACTTTTCTCACAACTTACCGAACGTTTATTACTCCCGAAAAATT